CAGCCGCCACCCGGCCGAAGTCCACCTAGCCGGCGCCCTTCAACCGCCCACACCCAGTGCCCTCGCCTGGCACTGCGCGCGTCGGAGGGCGTACACGCCACCGCCCGCTAGGGTTTGGTTGGGATTTTGGATAGAGAGGGGAGGGAGAAGCAGAAGCTGGCCGGCGGGAAGACCCCGAGGAGAGCGATGCGCTTGAGTGCCAAGTGCGATACCAGCGACCGCCGACCGGGCAGGAGGAGAAACATTGGGCCATTGGGCCTTGTTGGGCCATCCATCGAGGTAGCCGGACTGCCGGAGCCCGGAGGGAGACGGACAGCGTGCGGAACTCTGCAAGCTCATTTGGCTGCTAAGGAAATTAATTAATAATAAAAAAACGAACTAATAATAATTAAAGATACTCCTATTGATGAACATTTTTATGTGAATAAGGAGATTTTAAATAACTACTAACATTTAAGGAAATAGGATGTATTTATGACATAAAAGAAAAGGTTCAATCAGCTGTATAAGGAAAACTAATTGGTTATAAAAACCGTGCGGACACGGGCGTCCGGACGCCCGCCTGTTTCGCACACCCACGTGGGGACCCACGCCGTCCGGACGTCGCCTGCGCCTCCTGACCCCACAGGAGACTACTCGCACCCCCTCTGCTTCCCCCATTCGGACGCCTGCTGTGGCAGGTGGGTCCCCAATAGCAACACCCGATCTATTTTTGAAACATCGAGATGAAATATTTGTAACATATGTGACAAGATAGATGAAACACTAAAAACATGCGTTTGAAACACTTGAAACAAAGCATGTGAAACATTTGCAAAAACACCTGAAAAGTCATTGAAAAACATATGCAACATCCAGATAAAGCATTTGCAACGTACGCGTGAAACATATGCAATATCCAGATACAACATAATATAACATACATTAAAACAGATAAAACATTTAGAACAGAAGCTTGCAACATACGTGTACAACCATTGTAACAAAATATGAAACATCCCGATCTACTTTTGCAACATCCGTATGAAAACACTTGCAACATACCTCTGAAACATCTGAAAAACTCGAAACATACTCTTACAACATTTGCTTTCAAACACAACATCTACTTGTTGCTTGGACGAATGGAGGCTCGGTGTAGGGCCGGCCATGCATACCAGCAACATGCTAGAGGGCGGCAGATATCCACCCTGGCGAACGCATGCAGGAGATGAGGGAGGCGAGGCAGACCCGGACGTGGCTGGCTGGGTGGAGGGCCACCAGGGACGGCTCACCACGGTTACTGTCGAATGGCCGTGATAAGCGGGAAAAAGGTGGCGACGGGGATTTACTTGGCGAGCTTGGGGGAACTACGAGCCTAAGGTGGCATTCGTGGAGCTTGGAGTAGGACGCGAGAGGGCCAAAAGGAAAGGGAGCAACGGTGACAGGGGAGCTTCGGGCTCGGCGGGCCTATCCGCGCGTGCGAGCAGCAACCAGAGAGGGAGAGAGAGCGGTGTGAAAAGAGAAGGGAGCGTGAGAGAGAGACACGAGAGCAGACATATTGGGCTCTGCAGGCTTAGGAAGGCTGGCACTTGCGGTAGGGCGCGGCGGAGAGGGTGGCTAGCGTCAGGCGACAAGCAGGAAGTCAGAGCGAGTGATGTTGGGTAAACGAGAGAGGAACGAGTAATACGGATATTTAGGAGAGAAACTAGTACCGTACATTCCTTGGGTAGAGGGACGTGAGGCTCTTAGGCCGCATAATATTTACATATTTACCATCTACCATCATTACCAGGTGAGTGGTATATAAAATACTATGTCAGTTACTCATGTGTCAGTGACACATGTTAAGATGCTATCCGTAATAATGAAAAATATGTAAATGCACCTTAGGCCGCCACGTTGTGCCCGGAAATTAAAGCTGTCCGGATGGCCTAATCCTATGGATTACATTAGAAAATATTAACTAGCACGTGTGTGTTAAATAAAGATTATGGATAGCATAGAAGGTACTCTGTGCTGTAACACAGTGTATTCCAAAAAGTTTTAAGATAACTTAAGAAAATTCTCAATATGCATCTCCAGGTGTTTCTCCTCAGAGTTTTTTTTGTTTCGGTTTCTTTTCATTTATATTGTATACACTTATATTCAAGCTTCTTGGTTTCTTACAGTTCTTTTTTTTCATTTTTCTATTTTATTTTACTTTTCCGTCTCCGTCCTTTTTTCTTGTTCCGGTTTTCTAACTTTTCCGTTTTCTTTTCCACATCGTTTTTTTCGCCCGTTCGGTAGTGTTCCGTTTCCCGTTAGTTGTGGTTTTTGCGCGTATCCACTTTCTGTTTTTCTTTTTGTGTGTTTTTTCCATATAAATATCACAAACAAATAATATCATATATGTATTTGATTTTTGACCGCTTACTTAAAATTTAGAGCTTATCATCATCAAATTGTTTGATGCATTTCTATTAGAAAACAAAACTTATTTTGTTATTATAACCAGTTCAACCTAAGATTCAACTAATCAGACTTTTAGATAAATATATCTCTCACTACAAGAAATTCCATTATACAGGACGGTTTACGGGTGATGTATTCTAAAAATGTCATGGATCAGGAATGGGTTCATTTGGACTCCAACAGCTGGCCCATTTACAAGTATCGCATATATAACAACGGACTTAGGGTTTTTGAGTCGAGCTAGCATCTCCCACCACCAGCCGTGTTTCTCTCGTCTCTCTCTAGAGCAGATCGGGTTCCCTCCACCACCACCGATATCCCCTCCATCATCCTAGCATCAGTTGTGGCGCTTGGTCCCCTTCCGGCGGCGGCCCCCTCCGGCGGCGCTTGGTCCTTCCCCATTGGCAGCCGCGGCTGCTCCTTCCCCATTGGCAGCCGCGGCTACTCTTTCCCCGTGCTCTTCACCAGCATCTCCCGCAACGCAGGCAATGCCTCCTCAACACCAGCCACGGACCACTATCCTGCATCTCCGGCAATGGCGACCTCCCGGAGGACCCTCTTGCCAAGCAAATCTGGTGTGCTGTGTCCTCCCCTCCCTCCCAGCGCGGTGGCCCTCGCCCTTCCATAGTGTATCCCGACCCCTCCCCCGGTGGTGGTGCTTCCTTCCCCAGCCGAAGCCTCTCCTATGTTCTTCTCCGTAATATGCAGAATAGGTAACACGGATGATGGCTGGATCTCGTGATTCCTCTGTCATCATCTTTCATAGATTTTTTGCCATGTCTTTCTTCTGTCTATGATCTAATTCTTCCTTTTTCTGTGTTGACCAAGGAACCGATGGAGATGTAGATGATGCTGCAGCAAATGGCGTGCAAGCAGAGGGTCTTTCAAATGGTGATTTTCAGTTTCCTGTATTAATCCTTTTATTAGATCAACTATCTGTGTTTTAGAAAGCCTGTGATGAACATAAGCTAATAGATTTCCCTCAAATTACAGAGTATAAGATTCTCAAACCGCTGGAGCATGGTGATGTCGTTTCCACTCATCTAACATAGAACTCTGGATCAGGAGGTAATAAAGGGCCCGTAACCTAATTTGATTCCATTCAGTGCTTGACTCTCTGATTTGCCCTTCAAGTTCATGGCAAATTGGCAACGTGAGGATACCCCTTCAACTAGTATTTTTATGTTGACCATCTATCTATCTAGTTTTGTTTAGCACTAGGCTGAGTTATATTAAGTGATAGACATATATGTCTGAAATATTCATTATCATTGAACTTAAAACTGAGATATGTCCATGGCATATGGAATTGTATAGGTCATTGTTTAGCACGGTTGAAAATAGGGTTGTCCTTCTCTGTTCTTATTGTGCATGGCTTAGATGCCTTGTTCCTTGCCTACGGTTTACTTTGCCTACATTTGAGTTAATCTATGCGCATGTGTATTTTCAGGAAGACAAGTATGAAGATGAACTCGGTGCAATGGATCTTTTGAAGGAGTGCCACTGTACAGCAAAAAAAATTCAAGCTTATGCACTAACTGTCCAAACTGCTATTGTAATAGATGTGAAGGTTGACAATGACCTATTTTTGTGTTTTCTTAAGTTTTATGATGATCAGAACATGTTGTGTTAATGTACTAGAAATTGAGTTAACCAAATGATTGGGCTTTATGTGATTTTCATTATATAATTTGTGATGGTCAATTTTGGTGAACACATGGCGCTTACATAGCAACTCAAATCAGTGGCGAAGAAACATCCTACATGGCATCCTATGTTGCAGATGGCTATGATGGTCTATTTTGTCACACACTATCGGGCCTAGCCTGGGCTGAATGGGCTTCCAGGGATTCCATGACAAACACAAATATCAATCTGTGATGGCTTATCTCAGTCCAACAAATGTATGATGTGGGATACATGATGTTTTTTCCAATCGTCATGGTAAGTTAACCATGACGCGTTTTCGCTTGTCTATGACAAAAGTAAACTGTCATGTATAAGGGTATTTCTTGTAGTTTCTAAACCGTGTGCATATTCTAGTGCAATGCCTGATAAAGTTGTGATGGACACTAGTATCCCATCACTAGTTGGGCCCCGTAAGACGGCCTGTGTTGCTGCAAGGTTGTAACGGGCTAAGACCCATTTGCCAAACTACATAGACTCGTTGTGTGGGTGGTTGGGAGGTCAGCGAAAAATAACCAAAATATCATTTACCTGTTATCTTTCTCCCAACCTCATCTCTATCCGAGACGCCTCCATGCGTGTTTGCCAGCCTCCAAACCCTTACCTAGTTACACCACATTTGGTATCAGAACCTAATCGTATCCTCCCACTCCACAATGCTTGGACCCATAAAATCTTGACGAAGGATCTGCCGATTTTGGTAGATCGCATCACCTTTTTCGATCTGCTTCAATTCCAGCAGGTTCGACTCGGTTGGTCTAGCCAAGCCTCCGTCTAGCCACCTCCACCCCACTTCCTTCCACACCACTGGCACGCGGTCCTACACTCATGGCTCACTCGGCCACCACTGAAGAAAAGGTTGACTCGCTTGCGGCACACTCATGGCTCACTTGGCCACCACTGAAGAAAAGGTTGACTCGCTCGCGGCACAGATGAACTCCATGCTCAAGCTTATCGAGACCTTCAACCGCTGGAGCCCTGAGGTCGACAAATTCTCCACCGAGCTAAGCAAGAATCTCAAGGATCTCACATTGCTTGTTGAGGCATTGGAAGCGCAACCTCCTACCGCTCCGCCTCTGACACCGAAGTGCGAGGAAGAGGTGCGGGCCATGGGCCACGATGCTGCTCATCCACTATAGGGTCTTGGTCCTCCATCAACCCCTGGCCAAGGGTCAACCCCGGTTCCACTTCTCAACTCATTGACATGCATGAACCTCAACAATACTTTCATATTCCTGCTCCCCATATACCTTACCCGGTTACGCTAGAAAAGTCTAACATGTGCAAATTTTAGAAAGTCTCTTGCTATAGTCAACAGCGCACAGATCAGTCTTTGATACGTGGCAACTCCTTGATGAATTTAATCAGATATTATAATTACAAATTTTAGAAAGTCATGAAACTCGTTTGATATTAGAATTACAAATTTAATTAGTCATTGATATTTGACTCTACCAATGTATAGATATTATATTATGAAAATTAAAAATATGATATATTTATGAGTAAATATTTATGTGCCTTACAATGGGAATGTTATCATGGTCATCATAATATTTATGAGTAAAATTATGGATGTCATGGTCATCATAAAATAAATTATAGCTTTAAATTATCATTATCTCCTCGTTTTACATTAATGTTAGATACTCTCTTTTTCTCTCCTGCAATGGCAGGAGCATGTTTGCTAGTATATGTATTTTTTTTTGGCAAAAATGACATACTTAATCAATGGGCGAGCATTAGGAAAAGTAGTGACATGTGATTTTTTCTCGTCTTGCTCCACATGTTCTCCTTCTTCCTCTCCACACCCTTCATCTTCCTCCTACCCCTCCTTGATCGCCCTCCACCGCTGCCCAAGCGGCTATTGCTCTCGTTGGCATCCTCACCACCCACCAACCATTGTCGCTGCTGTTGTAGCCCTGCCCTTCCCTAACCTCCATCCTCTTATTTCTTTCTTCCCCTACTCATCGTGTTGTCCCGATGCCGCCACCTCAATCATCGCCCTGGCTAATGGCAACCTCACCGCCCACACATTCCACCACCGTCGTAGCAGCCCCACCCTTCTCTAATGCTATGGTTGCTCGCCCCCACTGCCTGCCCTGTCCACCAGAAGGCCAGCATTGGCCGCTCTTGGTGATTCCCCCTCGCTCATCGTCCCTCGAATCGCCTCAAATGATCGATCGCCGCTGAGCTCCTCACCTTTCTAAGGCCACCTAACATGGAGACCCCCCCTAAAAACCCCCTAAATCCCTAACCCTAATCACCGGAAGGAAGAAGAAGACGAATGGGAGGAAGAGGACAATGCGACCGACCAATCGCGCATTGACACATGTCATGATGCTTGCTTGCAGTTGCGGTTCACGAGTGTTGTATAAATATTTTGGTCGCCTTGCCTTACTCTAGTGACACCCATGCTACAACGCCTAGCACCGCTACCACATGTGTTTGGTTAGGAGACTAGAGAAGATGGGATAGTCACATCTCTATTTTTTAGAATATGATAGTCTCAGCTTGGTGTTTGGTTAGAGGGATGTAATAGTCTTTTTATTTGTTTGGTTGATGGTACAAAAGGAGATGGGATGACTCTGTCTCTTACACCGTCAGTATGAGGCATTTGTGGGCCTCTTTTGTCATCCTCTATCATGTTAGCACCAGGCATCTGTGGTCCTCCCTTGTCATCCTATGTCTTATTTTTTTCCAATCTTGTTATCTTACTGGCACCACCCGCAACTTGCAATCCACCCATGCCGTGCCTTTCTGTGTTGCATGCCTACGACCCAAAAACGTGTCACCTTCCTACACCGCTCTACCCTCCCCAAGCTGGAGCAGTCCACATGTGTCGCTCTCCCTGTGCCAGAGCCACTGGAGCTCCACGTGCCAAAGCAATCCGCCCCTATGTTGTTGTCCCTCTAGGGGGCATGTCTGTTGTTGTTGTGTGGGAAGCGTGGGGGGCATGGCACCTAGGCAAGTCATGTGGCCCACGTGCAACAGAGATCCAAGGTACTGTCGGAACAAAGCTAGCCGCAAATCAACCCAAGGCAGCTGGGGCACGCACACTAGAAGTGGCCAACGCGATGAGCATAGCAAACCAGTGCACCGGGAGTCTAGGACAGAGGAGGCTAGGGCGCATGGCACATCAGTGCTAGGATGCCATATGGCCACCACCACCGCTAGCCAAGCGCGGAGCATATAGCTCGAGCACAAAAGAATGAGTGGGGGAACTTAGCAAATGACATAGCGGAGGGACGAACACATCCATTTTTTGTCTAGGGCAAGGTTGTCCTAGATCTAAAGAGTATATTCCTAGAACCAAACATCACTAAAACTAGGACCATCATGTCTCGTCCCACCTTTCAGCGTAAACGGTGGTGGGGGTGCACATCACCATAGTGTGGAGGAGACCACAACAATTAGCGGTGCCCACAATCACATGGCGATAGGTCTGATGATGGTGCTGCTAGGCCGATAGGGGCGGCAATGGAAATAGGGGCCAGGAGCATGGATCGAAAAGATAATGCCAGTCTTAATGGAGAGTTTCATGACATAAATACCAAGATTGCCACACATCAATTTTTGTGTTTGTGACTGTCTCAATGGGTTTCATCTAGACAAAACTCTACGAAACTCTCTCTATCCTTCTCTTCATAATTAATCTGCCAACTCGGCAATTTTACCTAAGAAAATTCTTGCCAACATCAAAGAATGTTCATTGGTGAGTGTGAGGAAGAGGGGAGAGTATATGATGAAGACCGATGAAGATGGTCGTGGTGGGGGCCTGGAGAGAGAGAGGGTTAGCTCGTGTACGTGTTGTGTAGTCTTTGAAACCTTCATTTTAGTAGATCAAAGAATGTTCATCGGTGAGTGTATTGTGTAGTCTTTAGGAAACCTTCATTAAGACATTGGCCCAAGAATATTCTTGCCAACATCAAAGAATGTTCATCAAAGAATGTTGTGGTGAGTGTATGGGGGAGAGGATATGAGGAAGCTTGAAGAAGAAAGTAGATGGGCGTGGAGAGTGGCTCTTTGTGTAGATATGAGGAAGCAAGAAGAGAGACATTGGCTCATTGGCTCTTGTAGTAGAAGATATAATTTACAAAATAATGATCATTGCCCTAAGAAGATTCTTGCCAACATCAAAGAATGTTCATTGATTTGAGTGTATTGGAGGGAGAGGATATGAGTTGGCCTTCATGACGCCTGTCACATAACCTTGTGTCCAGATGGGACCAAACTAATTTCTCCGAGGAATGGGCGCATAATGCACGCGTAAGCGAAAGTGAGCTGGTGGATCGGATCGTTCCATTATATACTCTAATGGGCACCTCAAGCAGCTACTGTAGTGTAGGTCGTCGCGCGCACATAACCTTGTCGTTCAATGGGCCTAATTGCTCGCATCTAATCTACTCCATTTACATATGCACCCAATTAATTGCACGCATGCATCTTTGGCCTTGAAGTGCTGATTGACATGATTGAAGCCGAGAAGGATATGGATGACACGAACAAGGAACATGCATGATAGGCCACCCACCTCAGGTCCATTTTGAGATCCACGTGATATGGAGCCCAGTTCGACTTTGGATGCTTTCTTTCTGTTACATTTGAAAGTAGGCGCTTGACTTTAGTCAAGCACCCCAGCAACACCCCCTACTCGGCCCTGTATTCCCAATTTGGATAGTAGATGCAAAAAAAACCCAAGTTCAGCAGACCCCATACTAGACCCCTAGATTTGTTGGCCTCCTATTTCCTCCCTCCCACTACCCATTCCTGTTGTCCCTCTACTCGACTACCTAAATTTTTTTCTTCTTTTCCATGCTGAGTCGTCCGACTCCTTCCTCGGCACAGGCGTGGATCAACAGCGCGGCGGCACTTCCCTGGTGGCCCTCCCAACGTATTGGCATCTCCATGCCTCCCCGTGGCCCTTCCCAATGGTGCGCCTCCCGACGCAGGAGCAGTGACCCTTCTAGGCGGTGGCGCTGCCCCCAGCGGGCATGGTTTGCCGGCACAGGCGCTCTGCTCCCAGCGGTGCCCCTCCTTGGCGTGGCGGCAAGGCAGGCGATTGATGGCCGAGTAGTCAATGGCGACAACAAGGAAGAGAATTTCATGTGGGTCCAAAATGTCATTGACTGCTAAACCGAATTTGAGAGCCATGGTTTAGGTAGTATTGGTGGAGTTGGAAGGAAAAAATGGATAGTATTAAAATGGGTGTGTAAGGGACCGTGATGCCTAAGAGGGGGGGAGTGAATTAGGCAACTTAAAAATCTACTCTAAACTATGGCCTATAATTCCACTTAGTCAAAACCTATGCAAGAAAGTAATCTATCTAGATGTGCAACTACGGTTTTCCCAGGTGTGTTGCTATCTCTACCGCAAAAGAGTTATGCAACATAGGTTCCAATCCTTTCAACTAGCCTATCAACGAAGCTAGGAAAGTAAAGCAATCAACCAAGGTAGCAATGTAAATACGGAAGGTAAAAATGAGGTAGAGATGCAAACTCCTGTTGATGACTTCGGTATTTTTACCGAGGTATCGAGAAGCACTCAAGCTTTCCCTAAGTCCTCGTTGGAGCCCCTCGCAAAGAATCCCTCGCAAGGGCCAAGCTCCCGGTCGGGTAACTCCGTGGATATCCTCGGGCCTTCCCCACGCGCAAGTGGGTCTCTAGTGTGCCTTCTGGCAAGCATCTCCCGGACCGCTCCCCGACGTCTTCACTATCAAGCTTCCGGTTGAACCGCCGTGGGCCTTGTTCCCTACGGTACATGGTGGCGGCCACACCACAAACACGGTTGGTGTGATCTCAAGACTACAAGCGCCTATGATGTACAACAATGGTGCATGCAAGCACCGAGTGATAAGAGGTGTGCAAACCTCACTAAACACTAGGCCTAAACCTAGAGCAAGCGCATAAGCGGTGGTCTAATCAATCTAAGCACTTCGTAAAGCACCTACGCTAATCACCTAATGAATCACTAAGCACTATGCAAGTGAAGATCACTAAAATGGTGTATCAACACCCTTGGTATGTTTCCTCAGCTCTCCCCTCCTCAAATGGCAGGTTGGGAGGTCTATTTATAAGCTCCAAGTCAAAAGTAGCCGTTGGGGGCAAAAACCTAGCTTTCAGCTAGTGACCGGACACAG